CCCCACCACACCACATCCTCGCCCGTTCATGACTGTTCGAAGCAAACCTTCTACAATTTCACCTAGAAAGCAAGAAGCAACGAAAATGTCTCAGCTAACTCACCAGTCAGATGATATATACGCAGGACTACTTTTCAGGACAACTTAATACGGCAAAGGCACCACCCTTGCCAACGTAATGCCACTAAAATGATGTTTGCCTACCCAAGTATTATTCAAAATATGTTTTCGCACGTACCTCCAATGATGATTATGATTATCATTCCGTCCTAAGGTCATATCTTTCATTCATCTCGAAGAGCGGCGAGCTTGCATTGGTAACACTTCTCACCAACAGGGGGTGGGCAAAAAAGCCCCTTCTCGCCACATTTGATACTGAATAATCACATTTTGTTCAAGTGTAACCCGACAAGTTTCAAGTGCTAAGTGGAGAGCACGTCCATCGGACAACTTTGAAATAGTCTCCTTCAAGGGCGAGGGAGCATGGCGCATATTTCGAGTTCAATGAAGTCCTCGATTTGGATCATACGACATTACTGAAGTGCTGGTCGGCAGGGATCTTGCCCATTCAGAGCTATGGTCGCTAGAAAGCTGTCCACCAAAGGTGGTCGCTAGAAAGCTGTCCACCAAAGGACCGATTGAAGAAAATAGCCTGCTTTGGGCTGGAGCAATTAGCTACATACTTTGGGATTCCTCGAGTTTGATGGCCATGGCAGATGCCTTCATATTTGAAGACAGTGAAGACATGGATAGGAGCTTGTTTCTACTCATGAGCTGACATTTGAGAAATATTTGCCGTAAGATTTCCAACAGCGGTAGCACCTTATGCGATGAAGCTTGGTGATACACCTTGTAAGCACCTTTTTAGACCTTCCCTCTCTCTCCCACGCCATCCTGTAAAGATACTGTAGAGGTAGCAACGGCTTATAAGCAGGCTGGGACGCAACGATAAAAAGAACCAGTTTTCTTTACCTGAAAAAATCTGCGCTTTCAATGGCCAATCTTGCAGCCTTGACTCTTTCTCCATAATTTTTGAAATAGCCGACTGAAATTTCATAAAAAAAATGTGGAGAAGATATATAAAAGAATACTTCAACATTAGGCCTAGTGCCATTTCAAAACAATTTATACCCTCATAAAAACCAAGAAGGCGAACAAGCTTGGCTCTTTCAGCCATTTCTTCAGCAGTAGCTAGAACACATCTTCCTAACATATTTATTGACTCTACAACAAATGCCTTTCTTAGGCTAAGGCATCCAAAAAGGCAGATCACTGACGATTATTACAATAATAATAGCAACGAAACATAGAACATACGGAAAGCCCGATTTGGTGAGTTTTTCACAGTGAATAGGTGATAATATAATAATCTGTAAGTACTAATAATTCAACGGACCCTGCGACTGCGCAGGATTAACGCTAGAGGGAAGCAGAAGAAGTACTAAGCTTCTGAAAATGCAATATATTCGAAAAATATATTTGAAAAGAATAGTCTTAATTACGACTGAAAAGACTTTTGGATTAAGAAATACAATTACGCAGATTGACATGATTTACAGCAGAATTCGTTGTACCGCTTTTTTGCACAAAGACCATTCTGCACTATCAAGGCGCATGTCTTCCATGTGCCCCTGTCCGCCGTACAATCGGTCCCTTCGCGGTTCGGAACTGAAAAATAAACGAACATTTGCCATCTGCAAATTGAGCGACAATTAAAGCCACTTCCCAGATCACGCTTTATTGTGGTGATTGGGATCTTGTGAAATGAAAATTATTCAGGTGTGTTCAAAAATGCGGCGTTACCTTACTTGTTTCTGCAATCGGATTACCTGGGCATGCGTGGTGCAGTGGTAAGTGGCGCCTCTTACCACGCGAACAGTCCGGAAGTTGGTGCATTGGCATGACGTTCGACTGAGAGGATAAAAGCACTGATTCGTACATCGGCCAGCCCCAAAATTCGTTGTTTATGCCAAATTCCATTCAAAATGCCACTACGATTCCGAATGGAAATAGGATGCGTGGCGCACCCAGAATATTGATCATCGCGGAATGGTTTATCCTATCAGCTTATTCGGCCATCTACTATAAAGCCACATTCAGCCATACATACTGTGTGTGCTGTGCTTGTTTTGACTCACCGCGAGTCGCTATCTATTAGGCTGCTTTCATACTTTGCGCCGTTGCGGACGTTGCGGTCCGTGCGGACGGTGCGGAGAGAGTGAAGAGCGTCAACACGCGCACTGGCGCATGACGCGTACTTGGCGTCGGTAGCTTCCGATCGATAATTTCAGTTCAATATGTTTTCCTGGTTGCTTTTTTTGTGTGCCGTCTTGCTTCCGTTCTTATTTTTTTGTCGGCAACGTCCGCAACGGCGCAAAGTTGAAAGCAGTATAGAGGAGTATGAGCGATGCGCAGCGATTGTGCCAGCGATCCCAGCGACGAGTCAGCAACAAATCGCTGGCGCATCGCTTGAATTGTTCGAAAAGCTAGCCAGTCGGGTGATTTGTTAGCGACTCAACGCAAAGTCTCACACCTGCCTTATCGCTGGTCAAGCTTGCGTTGCAGCGCGAATCGCACGACGGACCACATCACAAGCGCCCCGATCAATGCTGAG